GAGGCCACTTTAAACAAGGAAAGAGAATCTCTTTCCTTGTTTAAGAAATCAAATTTAGTTGGGTTATGTTATTGTTGATGTTATTGTTTGTCAAAACTGTCACATGAAAGCTTATTTATATTTTCTATTGAAGTTTTTTAACAATTGTTTAACATTTTAGACTATTATCGTTATTAAATAATTAAAACTTTATTGTGTTCTAGTGTTAAAAAACGTATTTTAATAAATAATTTTAATAAATAAATAGATAAATATATAATATAAAATATTATGTAATATAAAATAAATAAATAGATAAATTAGATCCCCTACACCACTGTATGATTATTGTCAAGTGTCATGAAATTTAAATTTGGCGCATTTGCATTTCCGGATATGTCCGCCATCAGAGGCCACTTTTTGGTCTCATTTTCATAACGATTAGATTCCCTCTTTTGTCTTATTGCTCGATGGTGTGGATACAACAGACCACAAATCTGAAATCTATTATTGACTATGAAGGGAAGAGTGAGGAAATAATGCACAGCAGGTAATTGAATCACATATTTCAGAAACCCCATAACTCCATTTTTATAAAATGTTGAGAAATTAGAAAAAACCTTATTTCATGAAATATTTTTAAAAACCTGTTGTGCTTTTGTAATAAAATCATGAGATTAATGTGTTTTAATCAGTTTGCATAAAAAGTGGTGAATTTTAGCTTTATATTATGTTTTTTTTTCCTTTTTTACTTTTGTGGATTTTTGGGGTTTTTGAAATATACACATTTTTCAAAGATGTAAAAATAAGAAAACAAGTTTTATATAAACATTTATTCAAAAATATGGGCATACAGAATAATATATCAGTAGTAATCACTCATCTGGTTGTATTATTTCATTTGAATCTCCCTCGCATGTTGGCAAATTAAAAATTTCTCCGTAAAAGTCCTTGACTTCTTCATTATCTGGTAGATACTTTTCCAGTTTTCTCAAGTCTTGCATCTTCTTGATATTAATAGGAATATGTCCTTCGGTGTACGCTTTTCTGGTAGGGAAACTAATAACATCCTTGTTGCTATTTCGTAGCCGAAAAGAATGATGTATCAAGCCATCTATGTACTCTTTTGCAATAACAATTCCATCGTGATCACTCGAATGAATAAAGTGTCGAAAGTTGGATATTTTAAAAGCAATTTTTTGATCTCTTGGGATATTTCTGCCCAAAGATTCATTGGAGAGCATTGTCTTTTTAAAATACGTGGGCCACCATCCTTTAAAGTTCAATATGTCATCAGAATTCGGCAAAACTACAGTAAATCGGTTTAAACTCTTGTTAGATGTTATGATAAGCTCTACATACTCTTTTAAGGTATAAATCCTGTCTGATTTTTTAATTTTCCTTTTAAGAACGGAAAAATCCCGATCACACGGTAGAAATGAATGTCCCCGTGTGGGATAATATTGTTCAATCTTTTTGAATCTATTGGTTGAAACTAATGCAGAAAAAGTCTAACTATTGTATGGTTCTTGTTCTGGGCGGCACATGCATCAGAAAAGAAGTGAAAATGGTTAATATTTTTAAATTCTGGATTGTTGTCAAGAAAATGTAATAAAAATGATACAACTTCATTAGGCCCTTTAGTTCCTGTTCCCTCATGATACACATAGAATGTTACCTTATCATCTTTCAGATTATGAATACATAAAACATTAACAGTAAGTTGTCTTAAATAGAATGTTTCTGGACAGGAATAACTGGTAGTTGCAGGTTTTGCATATAATCAATGCAAATACCACCTACATTCTCATCTACTTTACAAAGTTCTGAAATGGTTTTAAGTTTGTTATAAAATTTGTTTGCCCGTTTCTTATGAACCATTTTTTCTGCCAGTGCCACTCTTTTTGCTGTTTCATTTAAGAATTTACTTTTTATTTTAGTTTCTAACTCTTCACATGTAGAGCAGGTGTCGACTTGTGGGCGACCGAAAGATAATGAAAATTGTTCTTTAAAAATCTTTTGATAATATGAATATTTAACGTTTTGTTCTGGGTGAACCTCTTTAAACAACTTATACATTATAAAAATATTTAATTTTTCATTTAGATACCTATATTCTCTACTAGTATAATGGGCCGTTTTGACCGGAAACGAAGCAATATGTTGTATGATTGAATCTATAACAAGTCCTGACTTCGCATTGCCAGATTTATTTTTACCTCGTTTATCTATAGGAACTTGCCCCTCTCGTCTTAACGTGGTTAAGCGACGCAACCGATCATTAGTAATGCCAAAAATGGCAATAAAAGCTTTTCTACAGATTTTATTTGTACCTGTTGGTCCCTGAATTGTATATTTAAAAGAAGCTAGTCTATCAGGCTTGCAAGAAATATCAGCTGGTTTTTTGCGCCTTCGACGTGCAACTTCATGGACTGAAATAAGCGATTGTAGCAAACAATCTTGTTCGTTCTTGGTGTTAAGGCTCCTGAAGTTTCGGAATAATTGAATGCGTGCTTCTTCAGAAATTTGTAAAAAGCATTTTTGGCGACATCTAAAAATAAGTATCATTCAAATTACGATAATAAAATATTAGATATTGTCTAGCTAGTTAGTAATATTTTAAAGTTTTAAGGCTTACTTGCAGTCTGGTCCTTGGTTCACTTCAGGCGCCAAGACACCACTCCAGCGTTTATAGGCAGACCCTTTAACTCTAGAGTTTTTAATAACTTCTCTTTTATATTCACTGATATTACGTATTCCACGCTTTTTTTTGCGCGTTGAAGACTGATTTTCAATTTCCATTACTTAAATTATTATTAATTTTTACTGTAATAACAACTAACCATATGTAGAGATCACAAATAAATAATGTGCATAACCTCAAAAACAAAAACCTGTCATGTCAAAAATCAGTGTGTTCAAATATTATATTTTAGAAACACCAAAATTCCTGGAGTTTTGGTGTTTCTGCAATACATGAAATTTTCATCTGGCAACAAATGTATGTAAATTTAGTGAGTTTTGGGGTTTCTGTTTACTGTTAAGTGCGTATACCTATATACTACCAAAAATTACAGAAAACTGTAATTTCATAAATTTGTGATTTTTGGGGTTTCTGAAATACGTGATTCAATTGTGTGCACCGGAAAATTTCAAATTGCGCGGCAAACTGAGAAGTCAGATAGTGCTGCACCCCGCGACTTTCCAGTGAACTATAGCAGCTACCATTTACATATTTTAATTAACTCCATAAAGTAGTGCTAAACGTGTTTGTGTGTACATTATCTACTAGAGTAAATCAGACCTCGTGTCTGTTTTTTTGTTGATTTCCATAATCTTCATGTTTTGTAAATAAATATTTAACCATGCATCGTTTGGATTTATTACAACAATTATTAAATGCATAGTGTTTAAAAAATATATTAATCAAATGTAATGCGCAAAGGACAAATTGTGCGCACATTTGCTCAAGATTTATTTAAAGTTTAATTTTTTAGACGCCTAGAAATTATATGCGAAAGCTTTGTCTTATTCAACCAAAAGTCTTCAAAAAGCCTTAGAGGCAATTACCAATATGACGTCAAAAAAATCAGGAAAGTAGTGTGGCTGTTTGTAATATCGGAATCAAGCTTTAGAAAAAAACTTTTAGAAAATATGCTTATACTATTAAATCTTAAAACTGACCGTAAATCAGTATTTAACGATAAAATAAAAAGAAAGTTAAAAGAATCCATTTTGTTGCTCTCCAAATTGAAGATGAAATGCTGAAGAAAACAATATTTCTCACAATTTCAACAGAAACAAGAGATTAGCTAGGCAAGATTTGCAGTTGGTTTTAAAAAGAGTGTCTGAAGTCAAATTTAGATAGCCTGAGACTCAGACCCTCATCATACGAAAGCTTTTCTTCCTTACATCAAAGGTGTCACTGACAAAATCGACAAAATTCTTAAATCAAGAGGAACAAAGACAATATTTACAACACTAAGATTATGAAATTCCTTGTGCAGACTGTCCCCGATCCTATATAGGCCAAACAAATCGTAGAATCCAAAATAGGATTTATGAACATTCCATTTCTGTTCGAGTTAAGTCCGACTCAATTTCTGCTCTAGGTCAACAAAATCTTCATACAGGTCACATAAGTCCAGCTTCTATAAACCAAGAATTATCCGAGAAAAGATTATAATTTGTCTATGCTGGTCTCCTTCAAATTCCTTATGTCAATCCCGCTATTTTTGACTTTAACTTTCTTATCTCCTCGGATATAAGCTCGGCGTATATTCCCTCCCACCTTTTATAAATATTTTGTCCTTCTTTATCCTCCTTTTAAAATTTGGGATCACAAGTTTTATGTTAATTTTTAAATTCCTAAAGGAACACTTTAGTGCTTTTTACTCTATTTGGCTAATTTGGTCGACTTTTCTTCCAGCACGCGTTTTGGTCCTTCTGGTCTTTATCCGTTACTTCCTTTATGGCTTCTGTCAGATTTTTGCGGCTTTAAGACTCTTAATGCCTCTCCCCCGATTGGAATCATATAGGCTAACTTCATATGTTTTTTACTCTTGCCTGCCCCCGACATCACTTGCGTTAATTCTTTTTTTTTATTGGCTAAAAACTTAAATATTAGTCACAAAACTTCGTTTAAGGTGACCACTTCCGTCTCACAATCTTATATTTTAAGCTACTTTTTTATACTTTTATCTTTATATTCCAAGATGGTTGGTAGCAGATATTAGTCTAGAAATATGAATCATCCTAACAATAAGTTTTCTGAACTTTACATTAAGTTTAATACTTGCCAACACTTTCTCCAAAGTTTTTCCATCATCAAAACCAAAAGTTTGTTCCAATATTTAGATTTAGATAGATGCGACTATATTATATTATTTATCTATGGATGCGTATGCGACTAATATACGCTCAAAACATGACAACACCGGAAGTTTGTAAAGTTACTATAGGATCAAATCAAAAGTCACAAACATAAATTGACAAGCTAAAGTTGTCATTGTCATTAATATGAGTAACAAAACAAGGATAAGAAGTGTCATGTAGTGTTTACTTTTCAAATTTTATCTATTATTTTAAGACGTACAATTAATATTGCAGCTTTGTGACAAGCTAATATAAGCATGTATTATTTTTCATTATTCGTAGTATTTAACGTATTATGCTTCGTAACATGTTCAGTGATTAGTCACCGGGAAGTATCAAGCTCTATAGTGGACGAGAAAGCATGCCAAGATGTTGCAATTATTTGCCACAACTTAAGTGAAAAAGACGATTTACTTATTCTCGAATGTTTATTATCCTCAAATCCACACCAAGTTAATCGTTTAAATAGGGAATGCATGAATATTGTATGGAGTAGAGTTAATAACCTCACCAGTTCCAGTGGTGTAAAAGAACGACTGTTGCCGGAATGCGGCAAGGAATTAGATAAGTTGCAGTGCCAAGAAAATAATTATTTACAATGTATAGTGAAAAATGTAAATAATATACAAGATCAAAATTGTTACAGTACCATAAATCGCCTAGAAAGCATCGCCTTTACTGACTACAAGTGGATAGCAGACTTTTTACATGAATGTAATCAAGATATTCAAAAATTTCAATGTGGAATTATTGATGGAGATAACTTTTCGCAAATCAGAACAGTAGCATGTTTGCAAAATAAAATTATAGAAGTCACAGAAGAATGTAGGAAGGAAGTGTTTCATTTATCAGAATTGCAATCAAACAATATTAAACTTGATGCTCAGTTATATTTGGAATGTAGGGAGGACTACCAGAGATATTGTTCCCAGTTTAAAGAAGGTTTGTATCCCCTTTTTTACAATATTTTTTTGAACTTGGCAGCAATATTTTCTTCTAACTGCCATGTTTCCTTTTTTATATTAAGACAAAAAAGAGTACAGTTCTTACTGTACTAGTTTTTTTTGCTTTGTATATAAATTTGTATATATAGTACCTTTGAAAAATCACTGACATCAGTGCAAACTTTTAATACACCTTTACCATTAGACTGCCTAGACATTAGACAGTTTAATGGTAAAGGTGTATTACTAATGTTTATTTTTTGTGAACAATTTTACCTCTTGCACTTCTGATGAACAATAATTTGTGAACAATTATTGTTGGATTCATCAGAAGTGTAAGAGGTGGAATTGTTCACAAAAAATAAACATTAGTAATACACCTATAGCATTAACAGCTATTGTTAACAATTATATTCAAACAAATACCAAGAATTTTGGAAGCGAAGCTTCTATAATGACGCTGTATTACTTTTTTCCCTAAAGTAAAATCAAAGAATATAGATTCATATAGATTCAAACTGTCTTTTTTGGTTTTTTTTTACAATAAAATCTTTATTTTTAATATATTAAATTGTTAAATTTTTAATTTTAAAACTTAAAAAGGTATGGAATTTTCAATATTAAAAGTATTTATTTTTTTTTTATAACATTAAATTAAAATAGGTTTGTTCCAACACATAACTTTTTATTATACTGTTTTCTTGCACAAAAATTTACAAAACAATTGAAACAATTTTCAAAATATTTTCAATCAATAGTATGTATCTACCTTAGTCCTAGGCTAGTCTGCAGTATCTTAATATTTTTTGTAGTGGTTATTTTCCTTATGTACAAGAATTGGATAAATCCCCTCTGGACCTGGTGATTTATATGGTACAAACGAGTTTATTGCCCATTTGATTTTGTCACAGTTCACCACTTGTTTTACCATACATTAAATTTTTCCTAGAACCTTAAGTTATATCAGAGACTCTGGAAAGTGCACCCTTTCCTCAAATTTCCTCAAAGTTTTAAACAGGCTATTGTCAAGCCACTGCATAAAAAGGTGATGTTACTAAGATAGAGAACTATAGACCAATAAGCCATCTTCCATCATTCTCAAAAATATTCAAAAAAGCAATATATTTCAGACTACAAAACTTTTTTACTACAAACAACTTATTTAGTAGTTCACAGTTCTTGCAGGGAGATCTGTTGAGACAGCTACCTATGATTTTATGTCAAAAATTTTTTGTTTTTTTAGTGTTTTTCTAGAAAAACACCAAAAATAAAATAAACATTTACCTGTACATAAATTACACCTGTATGTATAATATGTTGCATACCATTAAGACAGGTTTAAAAAGTATAATCACCTAAGATGGGCCTCTAGTATTTCTTGAAAAGAAAGATTACATCAAGTACACCTAATTACATGTTAATTACAGTGCTTTTACTTTCTATTCTCTATGCATACGAGTTAAAACACACCAGTAAAACATGCCATAAACTAAGTTTTACTATCTTTACCTTAAATTTTAAAAATTTTGGAATGTATTTTGTCCATGATTTTATATTTTAGTGTGTTATCAATGTTGAGTGTCAATGCTTTTATAAATAATCTAGGATGAAGCTTCACACTAGTCTACTGTACCCCTATGGTATCTTGTTTTATATTTGGCTGATTTTTAGTTTCGAGCATATTTCACATTTTAATATTGTTTTGTATACATTTTACATACAAGATCAAATAAATAATTTTGTTTTCAGGTACAGGAAGAGTATTTCCCTGTTTAATTAAACAGCTTCATTTGGATGATTCAAAATTAGCTTCAACTTGTAGACAACACTTACGTAGGAGAGAAAAATTGATATCACAAGACTTTAAAGTTAGTAAAGGGTTGTTAAAAGCTTGTAAAGATGATATTAAAAAGACCCAATGCAAAAAAAGAGTGTCTAGTGATAAGACTGTGCGTTTGGCACAAATATTGCTTTGTCTAGAAGACTTCATAAGAAGTGATTCAAATAATCCCAGAATACACATAAGTCCTGAGTGTGAGAGTGAGATCCAAGAACATAGGAAAATGTTGCTTAATGACTACAGGTAATATTTTATTAATAATAGATAAAACATCTGTCAGTTTTTCACATTCATGACCAAGATCTTCACACAAATTCTGAAAAGACTATCCTGTCTTATAAGTTGATCTATGCAATGCCTTAATTATCTTTAAGTGGCTTGTATGGTTTATAGAAATTTCGGTTTTTCATATGGCTGATCTTATGGTTATATTTACATTGTTGTCAGATTTTCTGTTTTTTCTGGAAATATGAACTTTGGTAATTCAAATATATCATGCCATATATTCTTTCTTTTTTGCCATAATTTCAGAGTTATCAGTAAATTTATATTGTATCTGCCTATCTAATCAAATAATGAAAAAATAATTATTTTATAAAAAGTTTTGTGCATACATATTTATAAATCAAGTTCTTCATCTATTGTACTGTAAGATTCTTCATCAGAGTCATTAGAATGTTCACTAAGATTTATCAATCAATATCTAATCAAAGATTTGATCGAATAAAGGTAGTTAATTGACAGATTAGTTTTCGATTTGGATCATTATTTCACATACATTTTTCCATTTTTCAGTTGAAAATTAAAAAAAAAATTCATTGCATAGTCCCATAACATCATTTAATTTAAATGTTATGTTTCTTGATCCCACATAATTTTTTAATGCAGTCCAAACAAATTTGATTGGATTGCAATTAGGATAATAAGGTGGCAGTCAGGTCAGAACATGTTATCATCAAAGAAAAAATTTTATCTCTTAACCATGTTTTCATGTCTTCTTTTTTACTACTTGAAGTAAGAGCTTTGTCTGCCTGTTTATTATGATATGCTACATTGTCAACAACAATAACACTATCGGGTGGTAAATTTAGAAGTAATTTTTCTGTCAACCACTTCTTATAGTTCTCAGAAATCATTTTATCATGATAGTCTCCATATTTTTGTTTCTAATTTCCACCTTTTAGTTTGGAACCTTTCACAAAACCATTTTCATTGCCAGTAAATGAGCCTTTGTTCCTAGGAAACAAGTTTTTGAAGACCTTCACTCCAATTAAACTCTTCATGGTAACTAGAATGCAAATAGGTTCCATTGGTGAAGACAATTGTCCTGTTTTCGGCTCGGTATCTTTTAATTCTACATAAATAATCTATTCACAATTTTTGTATATCATGCTTTTCCAGTAAAATACGAGTGTTATAATATATTATAACACTCGTATTTTAAGTATAATTACAATACTTTCCAAAATAACCACATTGATCTAAAAATTTTGTATGTAAGTGATTAACTGTTGGTGCTATTGTCTCAGTCCATCGCGTTGGGGGTCTTCCTCGGCTTCGCTTGTCAGCCCGTGGTCTTCACTCAAGCAATACTTTTTTGATCAAATGCATTCATTTTATTTTTGATACCCTTGTTTCTTTTGGAGGAGCAAAAAACACTTTATGTTCAGAATCAACTTGACGACCTTTGCTAGCAATTCTTGTATAGTTAAGAGATTAAAACCTTAAAATTAGATTGGATTAAAAATAATAATTATTTAGTGGTACCTACATAAATACATGTTATTACAGCAACATGTTCCTGCACTTTTCTTAAATCATTAACAATTGTTCATTTTCTGCTTAATTTTTTACATTTTAAAACGTTATAAATTACTTCTTGCATTTTATGATTTAGAACCTGCCATATTTATATCACGTTACAACGCTATACAAAAGTAACTGACAAACTGTCTCCACTTTTTTGAATTTTGTTACTGCACATCCAGAACTCACGTAAATATTAACATAAGATTGGCTATATTACAAAAACCAAAATTGATATAAATGTCCAAGATAATTGAGGCAGTCCCTACTTAAAACTCACTCTATACACACAAATATTGAAGTAGAATTTTTTTTGATTGTTTAGCTTGTCTCCTGAGGTTGTGGATAAATGTAAGAATGAAACAGCTATATTCTGTGAAGGGTACGGAGTTGGGGGAAAGACTTTACACTGTCTGATGGGCCATGCTATGAACATAGGAGAAAAGGATACAGTAAAAGTTGGACATCTATGTATGAGAGCAGTAAGTACAAAATATACTTTTGTATAGTACCACCATACATGGTCCCAACATTTGTAAAAATATTCCTAACAACACAACATTTATTATACACTGTGTTAGCCAAATGGAATAAATTAGCTAATAAATAAATGAGGAAGTATTCGAAAACCGGGCGAACACGTCGATTAGTATTTATAGTTGAGCATTTTTTTATAAAAACTTTTTATACGGGGTGTATCAGATAACTATGGCCAGTACCAACGTTCTTATTTTAAATAGAACACCCTGTATATTAATAAACTTTTAGATTCCTCAGATCATTTTAGACATTTTTTGAATACAATGTCCTATACCTATCTTTGACTGTTTCGGAAATAAGAAATTAAGTAAAATCCAAAAATTCACGTTTAGAAAAGAAAATTATTTATTTGTTGAAAGTCGCTACCACTGTCTTAAAACTTCTTACCCATTTCGGTCTTTTTGATGATAAAGTAAGCAAAAATTATTTAAGCATTCCTTTTTATTGATATGTTAAAAAAACAAAAAATTGTTTACTTTGGTTTAAAACGAAAATGTTTTATTGTTCCATGACAGAAGTAGTTGTCAGTGCTATAGTCGTTTGAATTTCATTAACCGCAAGCCAGAAAAATGGTTCAATTAACAGAAATGCACAAAATTACAGTTATAAGATGATTGACTATGGAGATAAGACACTGACGCAAATGAAAGTAGCTAGTTTATTTTACGAAGCATTTCCTGATTTGCCGCACATATTTCAAGGGACAATTAGTAAAATAGAGAAGTAATTCCACGAGGTGGGCCATGTTAGGAAGGTAAAAAAAGAAGCTACCAATCCAATAAGTGAGGATACCAAATTGGCTGTTATGCTTGAGTTTGGGGAACAGCCACATACATCTGTTTGCAAAGCAGCCAAAGTACTAGATATTAGCTATTCATCGATTATTCGAATATTACAAGAAAACAAAATGCATCCCTATAAAATTATACACACTCAGGAGCTCATGGAAGATGATTTTAACAGGAGAATGTTTTTTTGTGAACAAATGATGGCAATGTTAGACAGCAATGTAATCCAATTAGAACATGTTTTGTTTTCTGATGAGTGCACCTTTACTCTTCACGGTCTTAATCGGCAAAATTGCCGCTATTGGACCAAGGAAAATCCTCACTGGATGAGACAAGGCAATAATCAATACTCTGAGAAGGTTAACGTGTGGGCAGGAATTATTGAAGATCAGATCATAGGTACCTTTTTCATAGATGGCAATTTGAATGGGGACAATAATTTAGCATTGCTTCAAAATAATATAGTGCCAACATTGGCCAACTTGTATCCTGATCCAGGAAACCCTCAAGTTCCAGCGAATATGATATGGTTTCAACAAGATGGAGCCACCCCACTACTAAATCCATGTCCGGCACTACCTCAACCAAATATTTACAAAACAGTGGATAGGGAGGCGAGGATCGATGGAATAGCCACCACGATCCCCCGATTTCACGCCAGTAGAGTTTTTCTTATGGGGAGATGTGAAAAGTATTGTATACAAAACTAAACCCACTGACTTAGGTGACTCACGAAGACGAATAACGTTTGCGATTAGATCGATCACATCTGATATTTGAGTAACGTTAGAAGAAATTTATATTCACGGTTAGGGCGTTGCCAAGACGTTCGTGGGGAGCATTTTGAACATCTCCTACATTGACATTATTATTTAGATTTGTATTATTTAGAAGTTTTTGATAATGTTGTAGCGACTTTCAGTAAGTAGATAATTTGCTTTTCCAAATGTGAACTTTTGCATTTTACTTAATATTTCCGAAACAGTCAAAGATAGGTATAGGACATTGTATTCAAAAAATATCTAAAATGATCTAAGGAATCTAAAAATTAATTAACATACAGGGTATTCTATTTAAAATAAGCAAGTTGGTATTGGCCACTGTTTTCTATCTAATACACCCCGTATAAAAATTTTTTATGGAAGAAAATGCGCCACTATAAATACTAATCGACGTGTTCGACGGTTTTTTCAAATAGTCCCTCATTTATTTATTAGCTAATTTATTCCATTTGGCTGACACACAGTGTATATGTGGGTATATAAAACAGTAAAAAATATCGGTAGTATACTACAGATTTTAACATTGGATGCCTTGTTTTAGTTTTTTCCATATATGCATATTTTTGATCCTCCATATTTAAAAGATGTACTATTAAAAATATGTTGAATAAACTTATATACCTTATATATTCTTATACTCATATGCCATTTACAAAAACATTTATACAATAATGTAAATAAACCAAACCACTGATAAGGCATGAATATCTTGAGATAGTGTATACAAAAAAAGGTAGTTGTTTACATCCACTCCCATATTTACATTTTGAAACATGTCCTATACTTTGTGGAATTGATAGTGGAATGATTTTAACTTTATTTACCTGTTAGCAGATATCATATTCTTGAAATTTAGAAAGCTTTAATAATATTGATGGCTACTTATATTATTGTCGCATAATTTACAATTTCTTTTATTGTGATATCCCTTTTATATTTAATATTTCTTTTCTAAGGGTAGATTTTATAAGCTTGTCATTTTTTTATATTTCTCTATATTATAGTTTTTCTATCATTGATTTTCCTTGTTGATAATCTATTTCATGACAAATATCCGTACCTCGGAGGTAAAGGACACTATGTCCATTTTCTTACTTTTTTAGGAGAGCAGTTTTAACATTTTTTAAATTTGTAATCAGTAAATACTCAAATGTTTCTGATATTTAACCAAAATTAATATATTATATTAATTTTGGTTAAATATCAGAAACATTTGAGTATTTACTGATTTCAAATTTAAAACATGTTAAAACTGCTCTCCAAAAAGTAAGACAATGGGCATAGTGTCCTTTACCTCCGAGGTACGGATATACATACATTGTTTGACAAAGAATATATTGAATATTTAAGGATTATAGTGAAAATGGTAAGGAGTGACTGAAAAGAAAGAATATCTTGTTTGTAAATCCCAGGCAAAATATGAATTATATTCCTTAATTTTAGACGTGATAAATCTACTTATATAGAGACAATTACTTAAGTGTGTTAATTACAGTGAGATAGTTTATTACACTATATTCAACGAGAAGCGATAGCCCCAGTAAACAAGTAAAATATACTTCATCTAATTTACTTACTGTTGCACGTCATTATCATTGACAGAGATCGAAGTTGACATAGTTGCCAAAGTATAAAAAAATCCTGACTCCATTTTAAATCAAATAGGTCACATACTTATTGCAAAAGTATTATCCTCTCTCAGAGTTGGGTCGGATACTGAAACAAAGTATCCGGATACCAGATACGGATACTCAAAATGTATCCAGATACTTTTTAAAAAAGTATGAATACTTTCATTTAAAAATGTATTCGGATACAAGTATCCGGATAATTTTTAACGGTTACTTCCTAGGATACTTTTTTTAAGAAGGACGTAAATTATTAGTATAAAACTATGTGATGTGCATGTATTTTGAATGTAATATATAATAATAAAAATACATTAAATGATGGAGAAAGAAATCAGAAAATACTCAAAAAAAATGTTTATTGCTTATGAATAATAATAATAGGAGATAAACTTATAAGGAAACATTAAATTAAAATAAAAACGCACTAATACAGAAAATATTTCAATTGCTGACGAAATCAAGAGTGAAGTTCCTTTGAAGTTGCCTTTGTAAGTACCAATATCTCAAAGTGTTCATCGCTTAAAGCTTAACTTTTAGGCGTATCGATCATAGTTGCAAAAGAGAAAAGTCTTTTAACTGGTGCTGACGAAGGTAAGCATGTGTTGTACTTTATTGACACCCATTCTAAGATTGGGTATTCATTTAAGTTGTTCAAATTGGTTCTTTTGTCCTCCAAATATCTTAGCAACTCCAACTGTACTTTTGAAGTTTTATTATTGATGCTGGAACCCTGTTCATTCTGTGTATAATTAATAGTACAGCTGTTGTCCACTTGCTGAAATCAAAAAAAGTCATCCAGATTTTGATCTCCACTTTCATCTGATTCATTGCAACTTTCCAATTCCATTTTTGTTTTGGCGACAGTTATAATTGCAAAACTAGTATTTAAGTTTTTAATGCACATTTTTGCTAGATATTCTCCTCCATATTTTAATTTCGTTTGGTTAAGAAGTTTCTCTCATTTATTAACTAATGAAATTAAACTGGGTAATACATACATTTTCTTCACCTTGTAACAAATCTAACGTTAAGGCCAAAGGTTTCATAACTAAACAGTATTCCTCTAGGTATAACAGTTCAGTTTCCTTAAAAGGTTCTAACGTTAAATTTTGTTGCAAAATTGGAAGTTTTTCTTTTGCTTTAAGAATCTGCGAAACTTCATCAAAAGTGGAGTTCCATCTAGTGGAACTTTTATAACCTATTATGTTACATTTAACAGACAAAAATGTCAAATTGTTTATAAATTATCAATATCTATATTACACTGTAACACAAAACCTCGCCTTAAGGCTGTTTTATCGGTGCACCAAAACCTAGGAACTGTTATTTACCGACAAAATGTCTCGAAATTTGGACACAATATTCGAAACTATGTTGCTTTTAAAATGATGGTTTTACTTTTTTTATTTTTTTGTTACTTCTGTTGAAAAATTGTGCTGTTTAACGTTCTATTATAACCAAACTTTTTACGCCCATCGCTTGAAAGAGTTTTTTTTTCTGTAATCGTTGATTTTTTTTTCACCTTTCTGTGTCCAGTAATAATCGAAAAAAGCGTGTTCAAACTTTGAAGAAAATTGCTAAAAAATACTAAAATCTAATAGTGAAACGTGTTACTCATCATTGTCGCTTTAGGTTCACCGTTATCGCCTCCGTGACTTCAAATCTCATGAGCGTACGGTCAGTTAGTTCGTGTTAAAACTAATTTGAATGGACAATAATGCATTTGTTGCCCGTTGGCCGA